GGCCAGTGACTTTGTATATATGCATGGGTTCATTTACAATATGTTGGAACTAATTTCAATATTTTCTTTAAAAACATTAGAAAACCAGGTCACAATTGAAAATACTACTGGTAATGATGTATTAGAGGCACTATTTTCAATATTAATCATGTATATAAATGCTTGACTGTTTACTCCAAAAAACAAAACGCTTTTATATTAAAAGAACAAACAATTCATTCAGCACAAAATAATAAGACATTCTACTGGTCTAAAGAAAGGTACGTATAGCACAATGAACAAAAATTTGTAAGTATTCAACTGCTCGATGGTTCCAACATATTCTAAATTACTATGTTTACATTTGCAAGTATTTTTAACAACATTTATATTTTTGGAAATTGAATTGAAAATTTATAATTTTGCAAATACTTTGTACTACCTAAAAGATATTTTCTCAAATCAATCACCCTTTTGCAATTTGCAAATATCTACTAAACAAAGAGGTAGGTATTTCCATTTTTGATGAAATGAATGCTTTGCAATATTGTGAAAAATATTGCAAAGCTCTCCTATTTTTTTTTCCCTAAGCTTAATATGATTATAGAAATCATCTTTATGACAGAAAATGTTGACCATTCATGTAATATGAAGAAATATTTTATGTTATAAATATAACCATTAATTAAATTAAATGTTTTTTTTTCAATAATGTGGAGAAAACTTTTTTTGTGCGTGTGTGTGTGTGTGTGTGGGGGGGAGACTGTGCTTTGTTTATAGCCTAGAGCCTCATTTAAGATTAATCTGGTACTGTTCTTAAGAGATGCAAAAACATAAATGTTAATTCATTTGTATCATCACAAATTATGCTTTTAAAAATTATAATGAGAAAAAGAAGGTTCATTTAATTTGAATGTAAAAATAAAATTGAAACAAGGAATTAAATAAATGACTTTCCTTAATACTTTCTCAAATAGATGACACATGAAATCTTTGGAAGAATTTAGGGAATTTACTGTATAAATATTCTGAGCCATGATTGTAGCATAAGAATGAAGGAATGTTAGTAGACTGACTAGGCAAAAAAATTTAAATAATTTTATGAAGTACATCATTACATAATGGGAAAGAATTAAAAATTAAGTGAACTGACATCATAAATGAGCTTTATAAGCTGAGTCTTGCAATGAAAACAAATTTTATACTAATATCATCATTATTAGAATTTCCCTGAAGCAAGGATTTATAATCATACTATAAATTATAAATAGTATTCACCCCTTTTTTTGGTTAGAAAGTTGTTTCTTCTAACAGTTCAGAAGCTACTACTTTATTTCATGGTTTACATTTAAATGAACATTTGCTTTTACTTTTTAAAATGTTTCTTGAAATTGAATGAACAATACATTTCCAAAAATTCTTAGACCATTAATGAATACAAAAATTGTGCCCAAAAGTCCAAGAACACAGGGAAAAAGAATCCAAAAAAAAAAAAATATGAATAATTTAAATTAGAAAGAATAATTATGGTCATTACAAGTTGACAAATATACTGTTGGTGAGTGACTAATGCTCTAATTAAAATTGCTTGCAATTAATAATGCCATTGGGCTACAATAAAAGTTAATAAAAGAATAAAAATTAATCAAATTGATGATTCATATATGAATGAATATAAGTGTATAAAACACTGACATAATAGCTAAAATTATTCTTGCAGAGTACAAACAATGGCAAAAATATAAATCATTGTGACATGTAGATAATATCTATGATTTTACAGGTTGCCTATATTTTGAAAACAAAGTTAATTAACGTAAAGATTATTTCTAACATTTGAAATTCATGAATACACTTCCTGTTCACAAACACCTTCAGAACAATATTAAATAATAAAGAAATTAATTTTATTTTTCATATATTTTTAGCTATATTTTCCTTGTTATTTAAAATCAATATCATCTTGTTTAATTCTTAAAAGTGTTTCAAATAATGTAAATTTGATTTTTTATTATTTCCAAATTTGTCATTTCATTGCCAAATGCTATTCAATTTTCTCACCAACAGGTTTATATATATATTTCTTTGACAGTAACTAATTATATTTCTGACAAAGTGTACTCTGCTTATGATGGCCTGAAGATTCATTGTTTAGTTGTTAAACAATAGAAAACTAACTAGAAAAATTCAAACACAATAAATACAAAAGAAAACACAATAATGTGAAGGAAATTGGTGAAAATGAATGAAAAAATGTGTCAAAGAATTCAGATGATCTCTCAAGTAACCATGCTTCCATTACACAAAATTGTTCTCACAAAGTTGTGAGCGATTTTAAAAGTTAAAGATATGAGCCATAGAATACATTATTTTTTTGAAAATGTAAATAAAAATTACCCCTTTCTCTGGGTATTTTCATTTAATGTCTGGGAAAATGGTTATAAGTTATTTCACGTCTATTTAAAAACTTACAATTTCAAAAAAATTGTGTTATTAAATTGTTCACAAATACTAAATAAATTTCTTAAGGGACCATTTAAAAAAAAATGTTCACAAAATTTCGATTTTTCAACCTCTTTGTCTTCTTTTGTAACAACTTGCAGAACAAATACTCCCAATCAGTAGCGTAACAAAATGAGTGTGAGCCCACCCGCAAAACTTTTATCTGGGCCTCCTTTATAAAGATGCATAGAAAACACCAGTTGTGTTAGTATCTAAAAATATCCTTTAACACATTTGGATTCATCAGTCATACGTTCATATACCAATTCATCAGTCATTCATATGATTAAAGCCAATTGTGTAACAATCTGCCTTTATTTTTTTTTTAATGAAATTAACACTGTTGTAAAACCTAAATGAATTGCTTACCTTTATTAATTTGGTAACAGGGTTATATACGCCACTGAAAAAATTGTTTTTCTGGAAGATGCTGTTTTTAATCTTTTATTCTATCATCTTTTGCAAAGTATCTAGTAAAGTATCAAGTAAGTAATATTTGTACAGTCGCAAAATCTTCAGCCTAAATGTAGGCCCTCTTTTACCTGGGCCCACCTGCATTGCGGGCCTTGTGGACCTGCATGTTATGTCCCTGTTCCCAATGATATCAATGTTACATTTTGAACCTCTCTCTTCCATCTTCAGTTCAATCACAGTAATTTCATTCAAATAGGGTGAACATTCATGTATTTCAATATGTTTTTTAATGAATGAAATGAATAAATGAACTTATATTTTTATTAATTTCAAACTCGTTTGCAAATGATGCTAATGTGATAAAAAAATAAACATAAAATATGTAGTTCAATGTGAATTTTAATAAAGTTTTCAATTTGTTGTGAAGGATAATTTTAAATTTCATTTACCAGAAAACTGTTAATACAAAAACAAAAGTTTGTGAGAACTCCTTCCGGAGTTTCGAGACTGTTGCGTTGATATAGATGCAACAAAAAAAAAAAAAAAAAAAAAAAAAAAAAAAAAAAAATCATGAACTTTCTTTCTTCTCCTTATTCATTTTGGTCCCATTTGAGGCAATCCCTTCATTTTATGTGAACATGTTTTCTGAATGGCCTCTAACAGACTTCTCTCTCTACGTCCTATTTTACTTACAATAATTTTCATTTTATAATTTCATTAGCAAATGTTTCAATGAAAATCATGAGTACATCTCCATTTCACTGAATGCTTTGGCACAAATATAGTTTTGTTCCTTGGCCTATGTTAAAAGAAAATATTAAAGGAGAATAATTCAATTAACAAAATAAAATGACTGTTGGTTAATGTCACCTTTTTCTAACCTCTAGCTGCACCAATGTGAGAGAACAGACAGATGATGCAGAAAGAGTAATACACCTAATTAGTAGTAAATGTAGATGTTGAAACATTGAGACATACACATAAAGTTAGAGGGTCAAACACTAGACAAAAACACAATTTGTGTTAGGCATATGGCAAGCCCTGATATTAGAAAACCAATGCAAAACCAATGCAATGTTGTTTTATGAATAACTAATAATAATGGGATGAAAGAAATGGCAGTCTTTAGCTATGTGAAGTGGTTGCAGTGATTATATATATATATATATATATATTATATATATATATATATTATAATATATATATATATTATATTATTATATATATTATTCTATCTATAATTAGTATTACGTGATTGAGATGAAACCCTTATTACGCTATTTTCAAAAGAAAAAGAAAATATTATTCTCTATTGAATTATTTGTAGTGAATGACTAGTGTTTTATCCCATGGAAAATGTTACAATTTACAAGTATACTAAGAAAGAATTATCATCAAAGGAAGATATACAAAGCCTATTCATTGTGGTCTTAATATTTTAATGATTAAGAAAGGGAAATCTTTGTGGTGAGAAAGTAACAATAAAATGAACAATGTAAACATATTAAATAACAATTTGGAAGTTCTGTTAAGAGTTGGTTTTCCATATCAAGACTTGCTCAAGGGAGTTCAGGGTTAGGATTCATGAAAAAACGGTTTTCAACAAGGGTGCTAATAATTTTTTATACTTTTTTGACAAAAGAAAATGGCTAAATACAAAATAAAAAAACAAAGCTTTTCTGAGGGGAGGTTATTAATTTAGTTTCAGTGAAACATAAATGCAATGAGGAGGCTCATGAAATAAAAACAAAATAAATAAATGTGTCATTACACAGATATGGAGTTTAGTTGTAAGAATTGACATTACATTAAGATGATAATTTTAGAATTATTATTTTTCACCATTGTTTTTCAACATAAATATGAGTGCATGTTTTTAATCCATTAAAGTATTATAAATAATGAATTCATTTATCTTATAATATTTTAACACTGACTTATACTCATAATAAAATATATTAAAATAATACACCAAACTCCAATCTTATGTAATTTTTCCACTTTATACCTAAATTTTATACAACAAAAATCAAAACACTTCAAAATCAACTGTGATACCATGTTGTAAAACAACAACAACATATATCTATGGATTTTGTTCCTACCTTTCACTGTATTCATCCATGTGAGCATAGCTTTGAACACTATTTTCTTCAATGAGAAACTTAACTCGTTGGTAAAAGGAAGCTGTTACAGAAGGAGGTTGTTTCCTCAATAGCACCTCAACAGGATCATTGGAAGCCAGGCACATGATGCTGTCACTACACGAAGGATGTAAACAGCACTCGCTGTCAGAGCAGTCCACCATGCCATCTGTAGACAGTTCTTATCATGCACATGTGCTCCAAGCACACTGGCTTGTGCTGCATGTTCAATCTCAGTAATTCATTTCTTTAGAGCATACATTTGTATAATAAACGATAATAACAAGTTAGTTGATACCATAAAACATAAATCACCTTTTTAGATCATAGTAGTATCTGGTTACAACTACAAAATATGTAAGAATGGACAATTTTCTTCATTATTCTTTCAGACAGATGGTGAATGTATAAATATTTATGAAAATCAAAGAGTTAAAAAAAATTTGGAAATAAGCACAGCGTTTCTCATGTTCATGTTCCATAGTGAGACATGTATTAAAAGGAAATATTATAATAAAACAGAACTTCTTACCCTCATCGTTATCTATTTCATCTTTACATTCCATTTCAAGACGAATGCTGCAGTCTGCACCTGCCCATCCATCTGAACATACACAATGGTATTCTCCATCTTCCAGAGCACATGTCCCATGACGATTACATGCACTCTTGCAACCCGCTGCACAAATTTATTACAGATGCGAGTTGATCAATGTAAAAGATAAACATGAATTAATATTTTCTTCATTGATAAAATTCTGCATTAAGTGGAACACACAGCATAATATTTAAGGCATTAAAACTTTAATAAATAATATTTATTCAATGGAAAATGAGATGGTCCCCATCGAGATCTACATTCAAGGATGATGAAGACGATGATGATGATGATGATGATAATGATAATGTGAATACATTGATCAGCAACTATATGAAATTAAATGAATTTTTGATTTAAATAAAGAGAAAAGTAAATACAAATATGCCTTACCTCTCTCTTCCCTATGAATGCACACTACTTTATTACAAATGTCAATACAAAGTTTTCTCATAACACTGTAAAACTAATAACTAAAAGAGAAGAAAAACTTACGAAGGGTACAGTGTCTTCCATTCCAACCTTGTGAACAAACACATGTTCCATTTTTACATTGACCATGCTCAGAGCATCGAGGATCACAAGGGAGGAGATCACATCGGTCACCAGTCCATCCTTGGTCACAATCACATTTTCCTTTATCACAACGGCCATGAGGACCACAATCCAGGCTACATAGAGCTGTGGGAAAAAAAATGAAAACCTTTATGAATTGTGAATTGCTTTCTTAAGAATATTAGGTGTGTAGAATAAGAACACATAATTTTAAGAACACAAAATGTACATAATACTTAATGGTATTCCCTAAATTAGTTCATACAGTTCAAATAAATGGAAAATTACAATTATATTTATTAATTAAAAATAAATTATATGAAATTGAAAAAAACATGATTACATTAATGACATGAATACATGGATCACGAATACAGATGATTTATCACATTATTACATATTAAATTAAAATAACACAACACTGTCATCAAAATAATCATTAAATTTGGTTTACACAGAACTTACAATCAATGTCTGAGAACCATAATGTCCATAAGTTTTATGAAATCAGATCTATTATTACAAAGAAATGATGTACTACGTACGTTAATTCTCCTTTTATTTAAACCAGAATTATTGTCTGTTGCAGACACATACCTTGGGAACAATCTGGTCCAGCCCAGTAGTTCTCACATATACAGGTGCCAGTTTCCAGATCATAACTTCCATGTTCAGAACATCCTGGGAGACACTGATATACTTGCTGATCCACAACACTACAATTAGCACCTTGCCAACCAGCTTTACAGTAACATTTGCCTCCAACACATGTTCCATGTCCTGAACAATTTGGATCTGGGCAATCCACTGCAATAGAGGAAAACTCATATTTCAATTTTTTACTTAGAACAGTTTATTATATCAAAACAAACTCCACTTTCATTTTTAATTCTTGTTATTCAAAATACAGTGTATACCAAAAACTCAAGTAATGGTATATGTTATAAATATATAATTATAACTAGTATATAGTTATATCTATATATATCATTATTAAATATATATACCATATATTATATCAGTAGATAATATATATATATGTATATGTATGCTACCCCAGCTAATGATTCACGCATGTAAATCTAACTGTATTTCGCTTAATAGCACATTAAAATTTATAATTTCATTCTCCTTGTAATATGTTTTATTTATTTACTAGAAATTTATGTCATAGGTACAGTGCTGGATTGAAATTTTTTGGTCCTCAAACGCCCCCAACTTCATTATTAATTTAATATCTTCTCTATAAACGAAAACAGCTTTCTGACATTGAATTCAGTGAATTCTCGTTCAACATAAATGTACCAACAATGCGCAACACGTACTTTCACCGTAATTAAAATTATTAGTTTCTATTGACGCGAACGAAAGGCGACCGTCAATACCGCCTTCTATTATCACTACGGCGTTACAACAATGGGTTGCAACAATTAACAATGACCGCTAATTCGTATGGGATACACGTTCTGCAAATAAGTATTCTTGATATCACTAGCAAGGGAAAAAATGGATAAAAATATAATAAAGTATAATATATTTATATTCATCAAAATAACTCGGTTTTTATACGCATTACTCTTCATTTCTACGTTTTATTATACAAAGGGAAATCATCTATTCATTTTCATATTTAACTCAATTAAAGGACGCAATTTAAAATGGGTTTTAAATAATTTCTAAAAGATTAATTTGTAAACGCAAAACAAAAGCTCGAATGTAAGAAACGAACTAATAAATATGAAATAATATACAAATTCTAACTAACTGGAAACCAATCCAACTGCCTGAAAACAATCTATTATGTTCACGGAGCGCAGTAAATTCGAAGCGGATGACTACCTTTGTCGTCAAATTACACAAAAACACTAACTTTTTCGTAAAATTCAACATGACCTTATTGGAATATCTGTTTTTGATGAGCATATTATGTAAAAATGTATATTCACAATTCTAGTTATGGGACGACGCCGGAATTGTTTTTTAATTTTTGAAATACCAGGCACTTTAACGAACATGACATCTGAACTCTCAATGTTTGACACAGAAAGTTTCGCACAAAGTACTCACGCTTTCGAAAAATTGAACATGACATTATATTTAGATCTGTTTTTCGTGAACACATTCATTAAGAAAAATGTTTATTTTCGTAACTGTAGTTGCAGGAATACGCCCCCCCAAAAATTTTTTCAATTTTCGAAGACTCAGGTTAAGCAAGGAACATGAGACCTGCACGATTATCTTAAACACTAATCAACAACACAATTTAATAAAAAACTATGGAGCCATTATGAAAAAATTGTTTAAACAAAATTAAAAATACATTATATTTCATGCAAAATTACGAGAAAAATACGTAAATTTTCGAAAAATTGTTCATGATCTTATTTCAAAATCTATCTTTAAGGACCAGATTTCGCTGAGGAGAAAAATCTTTATCTTCATTGTAGTTGTAGGAAGACGACCCAAAAAATTTTAATTTTTGCAATTTGCGAAAAATCAACGAAAATGAGACCTGCATTATTATCTTAAACACTATACAACAACAACATTTAATCAAAAACGATGGAGCCATTGTCTTTTTATAATTTTGAAAATGCCCCATAGGCTTCTTGTAAAGTACCCCCCAAACTTAAAATACCGGTTTCAAATGCAAGGGTAGCAAATGCAAGTTCGATAGAGGAATACCAATTTTGGAGACAATCGGCTGAACGGTTTAGCCGCTATCGTTGTTGACGGACGGACGGTCAGACGGATGGACTGCCAGAATTTTGCCGTCATTCGATTTTTCGGTGTCCAGGACCCACAAAACATGGAATCTGACTACACCACGTGTTAGAGGATCCTCTTTTTCGTTTCCTGGGCTCGGCAATAGAAGTTTTTCTGCCGAAAATTCGCCGTTTTACCACGCAGCATTACATAACTTTCTCTTTTTAAGAAGTACCTTCTTGAAAGGAGAAAGTAAAAAGGAGCCCAGATGAAATGAGAGCATACTAACGCTGACTTCAATGTGTGGCGTCGTTCCCAAATTACCCATAAGGGATATCTCATTGTCTCATTATAAATAATGTCTGACTTAATCGACATGCCCAGTAACCTGACACTTAATCGGCGGATTGTGTTAAAAAAAATCGCGCACACGTTTAACACGGTCCTCGCCCCGCGACGTCCTGAGCGAGCTTCGTCGGCGACGTCCGCTCGGCCCGCCAGGAACATCTTGTGCCGTCGGTTCGTCTGGGGTCGGGAGAGGCAATCTTCCCCGGAAGCTCGATGAAGCATTTGAAAAGGTTCCTTTTAAGAGTCTTTTTAAGTTTAACGCAAAACTTGATTGCTGCTCTTTGATAGAAAGATCGCTCCATTATTACCTCGGTGAGGCACACTACAGGGGTTCAGAATATCACGCGTGTACACACTCCGTACACGCGTGTAAAAGCTCGGACGCGACTGGCTCGGCAATCTCTGTTAATCTTAGACCCCCTCCATCTACCCCAAGCAGTCCGGACGGTTTGCGACGTACAGACACGTCAGAAACAAATGCGACGCATTACTTTTGATACATACCATGTAGTCACTAATAGAAACTGTTATGCAGCACAAACGATTTTACTTGGGACTTAAACATTTGTATCGATAATGTCATCTGGCAAGGTGTTGTAAAATAATGTACAAGTATTGTATATGCACTTTTTGTAGTGAGCTGTTGATAGAGTCACCTGATAAATATGATTTCTACATTGAGTGTTATAGTTATAGACATCGGCGTTTGCTGAAAACACATTCCCGACTTTGAATAAGTCATTTCTGACAAAAACCACTGATTTACGAATCAAGAGATTACGAATTACTATCAAAAGCCAAGGTAATGGTAAACTTCCTAGATTGATAGAGAGACAAGAATCACGTGGGTGGGATTTGCTTATTATTTGTACAATTCGTTTTTAAAATCTAAAAGTCTGGGAGCTATCAGATGTATTTCATTATGCCATATCTTTTCTTATGCCATAACTCAGGCGTGAATGAGCATTCGCGAAATATACACAACGAGCAGTATGAAGGCTGAATGAATTTGAAAGAGTTCTGAACGCATAGCATAATGAACTTAAGTGTGTGATCAATTCGCTTAAATGGACGAATCCGTTTTCTTTTCATTTACTATTAATTTGTTATTATGGAACCAATTTGAAACACCTGATATTGTAATATTTACGATTTCTTCATTGCAAATAATATTCTCATCATCCGCAAAGAGAATTGTTCTTCTGTTTCGAATGGTCGAGGGCATATCGTTTTCGTACAGTGGGAAGAGAATATCAATCCTTGTGGGACGCCATGTACAATTGGTAATGAATCGGAAAGTTAATGTTCCATCATTCTAGTAAGGTATTTCTAATCTCTGAGATCGTTATTGAAGATACGAACATAAGCAATTTAAAGAAAAGCAACGGATTCCATACGAAGGTAATCTTGAAAGTAAAATGGCAAAATTAATGACGTCAAAATCTTTTCAAAGATCTGAAAATATTTCAATAAGTGCTTCGTTTTGATCCGTGGATGAAGCGACATCTTAAGAAAAGAAAATAGGGCTGTTTTCGTACATTTGAATTTTTGAAATCCATGGTGGCATTCTGAAAAGGCGTCATGTTTACTGAGAAAGGTTTCCATTTGCATGTAAAAAAGTCTGTCTAATATTTGTGAAAAAATTGACAATAGAGAAATTGGCCAATAACTTTGAATTTCATTTGTGTTGCTTTCTTTGAAGAGCGGCTTAAAATAACCTGTTGTAAAGGAAATCAGGAAAAGATTCGGTGCTTAAGGATGCATTAAATATTTGAGTTAATGGGTGTATAATGGCAGGTGCACAAGTCTTTAACAAAGAATCCGGAAATTCATCTAAACCGGACAAATATTTATTTTTTAGTTTACCGATTATTTTGAGAATTTCTGAGGAAGAAGTTTCGGAAACGAAGATCGTGTCAACATTTTTTCGGGAAACGTCTGTTGTTGAATTTTGAGGCTGAAAACCTATAGTGAGATTAGCAGTAATTCTCGAAAAATATTGGTTAAAGATACTAGCTACTGTTGCCGGATAGTTCACACCTCTATCGTTATCTTTTAAAAAAACATTCTCTACAAGGTTTCTAGTTTATTTAGTCGTATTTTTTACTATATTCCACATTGCTTTTGTTTTGTTACTTGAGTTCAAAATATCCTGATAGTGTTTCATGATTTTAGCCTTAATTCATAATTTTTTCTTACCAATATTATTGTCGTTCTTTTCCCGTATTATTATTATTATTATTATTATTATTATTATTATTATTATTATTATTATTATTATTATTATAGGCGGAAAGTACATTCGCAAAATAAACGCAATGAGCTGTATGACGGCTGAGTGAATTTGAAAGAATTTTGAATGTGTAACATAACTGGCTTATTTTAATATTAATTTCATTTATATGGATACATTCCATTTAAAATTTGACAGAATTGAAAGACTCAGAAATGTTATCTTAACACCAGGAAATTGCATATTGTTTATTTAAAATGGCGCATGCTGGTTGAAATGCAATACTGCATTGAAACAGTTTTTCCTTTATTTTCTATTAAATTGATATTATGAAACCACTTTGAAACATCTGAAATCGTACAATTTATTGTTTCTTTTTTCATAGAGCATTGGTGTCGTTAGCAAAAAGGACTGTACATCCGTTTCTAATAGATGAGAGAATATTGTTCACGTATAAAAGAAAGAAGATCGAACCGTGGGATGTTACATATTCAATTGGTGAAGAATTGGAAAGATGAGTAAATAATGTTCTTTCGGGTCTGTGCGGTATTTTTGCTCTTTACAATCCATGTTGAAGGTACAAGAATATCTAATCTAGGGCAATATCACGAATTGCATGTAAAGGTAATTTTGAAAGCAAAATGTTATGATCAATGACGTCGAAAGCTTTCGAATGATCTAAAAATATTCCAACAGTTGCTTCATTTTGACCCGTTGATGAAACAATGTCTTTAAGAATAAAAAAAGGGATTTTCCGTTGATTTTGATTTTCTAAATCGATGTTGAGAGTCCAAAAACGCTTCGTGTTTCCTGAAAAAGTTTTCATTCGTATGTAGAAAAAACATCTAATATATTTTAGAAAACTGACAAAATAGAAATTGGTCAATAATTTTGAATTTTATTATTGTTGCTTTCTTTGAAGAGCGGCTGAAGAGCTGGCATATTTTTGTCTATATTTACATGATATTGTCATTCGCACACTACTAGCAATCGCATGTTACATGATATTATCAATCACTCATGATCATATGAGAGAACTAGCTAAGGGTATTTATTCCCCGTATGTCCCCACGATATGTTTGAAAGTTTCTCGGCTAGTCGTATACATGCTTCGAAAGCGGTCGAAATCCCGCATTTGTTTTTGAATGTTTGACAAGAAGTGACTCGAAAAATGAAAGCACAACGATTCAAATGGGGATTTTGGTTTCTCATTTATTCGTGAAAGGTCTTTCTGACGTTCTCTATAACGCATTCTCTGCATGCAAGTTAAAGAATTGTCCATATGCAAGTACAATAATTATGAACATTTGCGATTTGATTCGCACGACATTATTCGCACTATTTGCACGTTAATGTTAAAAAATGTAATGTAAATAGACGAAAAAATTTTCAAGATTATTAATCTGGAAGCATTTGCAGCAACCTTTAAGTCGCGAAGAAGAAAGTATAATGATTTTTTAACGATCGAAAAATTTACCTAAACTATTAGTTACATTTGATTAAGATAAAAAAAATTGTTTTAAAATCGAATATTTCCAAGTCTCTGGCTTTTAATTAATTTAATTAATTAAAATTAATTTAATTAATATAGACGTAAGTTTAACTGCAGAAAAAACAATGCAAATCACCAAATACCAATGAAAGAATGGTATGTTGAAAATATGTCATATTCAATCACGCAATAGTCTAAAGAGACCCTAAAAATCTCATCCCATAATTTTCTTCCTATATTATTTAAGCTATTTTACTTATACTATTTACTTATACTATTCATCCTTATTATATTATATTTAGAACGAATACTTCCTTTAAATTTGTGCACTCAAAATAAATTATACCGAATTATAGTGAAATATGTATTTAAACAAAATTATAAGGATGTTTCCGAATAAAAACAACAAACTTCTATATATCCTAACTTTGCCTAAAATCAGGGGTAAATGCCACATATATACAATTTATACATTATATACAATTTTTTACTATATTCTCATTGGCAAAAAATGATCATTTTCGACTCTCCTATACGCCCCAGAAGTTTGTAACATTTTCCCGAGACATTTGCATAATTTTTGCTGAATAAAGTGAAATAAATGAAACTAATTTAAATGATCGAAGTTTTTATTTTTATTCGTGTAAGTACCTTGTTCGCAGTAAGTGCCCTTCCAGCCAGCCCGGCAGACGCACACTCCAGCTAAGCATTGACCATGTCCTGTACAATCAGGAACTTGGCAATCATGCTCAGGAATATCACACTCAGGACCTTTCCAGCCTTCTTCACAGTGACAGAGGCCGCCTCCATATTTCCCATGATTAGAACATAAAACAGGGCAGACACCTATAATGAATGCAATTTTAAAAATTAGAACACAAAACTAATTGGCTCTGAAAGTGAACATAGAAATAAACTCGCAAGTTATTTCAATAAACTCTGCTTTCATTAGCGCGATATAGTATGTTTTTGCTTGCATATCTAATAAATAAAATGTACTTACTTTTTGAACAATCAATTCCTTCGTATCCGTCGATGCAGTCACACTTTCCCATGTAGCATGACCCATGTCCACTACAGTCATTTGGACAGGCGGTAGATATTCCTTCTGCCTCGGCTAAAATCATGGTTACTGCGTGCGGGCGTAGATCGTCGTTATAAACGGAAAGGAACCATCTTCCAGTGTCTAAATATTGCACCCAGGATACGTTCTTCATAGATGACGCAGTACTACCGATGCCAACGCCCGAAGATCGTTTATTTATTTTGTGTTCCTTGCCGCTCTCTCCATCCTTCTTAGATTGAGAATATTTCAACTGTTTTGTTTTGTGATGGTTTCTGTGGTTCCTGGGAGATCTTGTACTGTTATTATCCGGAGATGAAATATTTCTAACAAATTCATTTTCTCCCTCTTCCATACTTGGAATTGAAGGGGGCATGCCTTCAGATACAATCTCGCTTTCTTCCAATTCTCGGGGAATTTTTTCGAGGTGATTGTGATTCACAATAAATGGAGGCGGTGGTATTACATGTAACATTTCGCCGTTAGGATTAATTCGATGATCACGCCATTTCTGAGTAGTGGATGTGGTAAAGCTTACGGCAGACGCCATTCCAGCTCCTTGTTGGTACTGCATCAAATCATCGCCCATGCTAACAGAATCAAGCATATCTCCACCCAGGGCAAAGGCACCTGACAAAGATCTCTTGAGTCGGTGATCAACATGACCACTTTTAACGAACTTGACAAAATCATATTGAGTAACACTAGGAGCAACATTTCTCCGTCCGTAAACAGCAAAGTTAGCACCCCAAGGAAGAGTAAAATTCAGAGTAATGAAAGCTGGTTGTTTATTCCTAAATTCTGAATTCCAGAACTGGAATGGAGGGATTGTTGCTGAATGAGGAGTTTCTAATTCTCGCATTTCTAACACAGTAGACCCAAGTTGCTGTTGCTGCTGTTGTTGTTGTTGCTGTTGTTGCTGCTGCTGTTGCTGCTGCTGTTGCTGAGTTTGTTGCTGCTGTTGTTGCTGTTGCTGATCTGAACTTCCAGATTTATTATTGGAACTTTGACTGCCTGGCTGACCGGAATGAACGGCCGTACTAGTTGGAAGAGATTCTGGGAAAGAAAGCATTCAATAATTAGAAAAATGCATAGTAATAATATAAAAGAAAACTATTTTATATATCAAACTTTTCAGTAATTTCAAAATGGTATGTTTCATTATTACAGTTCACTTTCAATCTTAAGAAATAATATTATTTATTCATAGAGTAAATGCTATGAATAATAAATAATTAAAATGTTTGATACATGTGTCTCAGAATAAATGTTAAAACTTTTAAGAGCATGTAGATACATTGAAAGTGATAATTTTTTACCCTAGAAAATATGGTTAGAAATTTCATATAATATCTTTACATGGAACTCCTCAATATCATTTCATTGTCAAGAAGTGAACACCTTAGATACATGCTCTATAAATTAATCATTCTGAGACATCTGTATATCGTAAGTATATCATCTGTATATCATTCAGAACAGGTCAATTGTTAGAAGGATTATGAATCAACGGCATTTTGACATTTTCAACGTTTTTCTTTAAAGCCGGCAGATGATGAGAATGAAAAGTGTTGTTAAACGCGATCGTTAACGTCAATTAACACCAGAATCGTAAAAAGAAAGTGTAAAACTATAAATATTGGAAGTAGTACAGACAACATGTAGTAATTTTACAGATCCGCAAATGTCACCAGGAAGGGAAAATAACTAGTGAATGGCAAGGGCGCTGTTTTTGGTTTTTAGAAGGGATTTAGGGACTTAATGCATAGCCTAGCGTGCAGCAGTCGACAGAAATATCGATCTTCTGCGCATGCACAATTTGAGTTAAGCATAATTTTTGAACACATGTGCATGCGTAGAAGGTTGATATTGCTGTATGCTACTCTGAGCTTTAAGTCCCTAATATCCTTGCACATGGACTCAGGAAATCGAAAGAATATAATTTTTATTTTCTCTTGTTAATTTTCATTTTAATGAAAATTAGTAACTTGCAATTAGAAAAATTAAAAGAACAATATATAAATATTGCAGAATTATGATTCAAATATCACCGTTAAGTGACGCATTTATACTGCAGTCATGAGCGTGCTCTTGTTGCATTTTACGCTCATGGATAGAAAAGTTTTTAACATGCGAGATTTTCTAATCGAGATAATAGTGATATGTTTTCGTTGGGAAGAATACTTATTTATTGCTCTGAACACAGAGATATATGATTGATACTTTTATTGAAAGCTTGATTTATAAAATTTTAGGTTTCGGGAACATGCCCCCCAATTTAAGATTAATTTAATATAAATAGTTAAATATTTATATTATAATTTAATAATTAAATCCGAGGTACCGAAACGCAGTTTCGTCGAGTTCCGCCAGAAATCAAGTTCTGATTTTATTCAATGTGTGGCGGAATGGTTTTTGAATGACCTTGAATAAACAAAGAATGCAAGAATAATAAGCTAGATGCACATTTAATTTTACCATTTGCATTGAAAGAAGAAAGGTCAGTGAGGGCCAAGTTATACTTAGAATTCTTTTGATTCTGTTTGCCAAATTTTATTTCTTTGAAATCAGGACGTCTAGAAATATTCTTCAAAGCAAAAATTAGAATCACTAGTGAAAAGCGTTAATTAGGTAACTGAATAATTTAGCGACGAATACTTTTCATTAATTAACAACGTGCAGTAGACCGACTCTTTGCTGAAGAACATCAAAAAGCAATCAAAGCGCAAGTGTGAGAGCCTTAGAAAACATGAAAGTATGGAACATATTTTTTCCAAGATACAATTGCAGGAGCTAGTACACAATCAAAAGATAGTGTGCACATGTTCTTTCAAAACATGTGTAGCAGAATTTCGCGTCGTATTGAAATTTTACTTCTGCACATGCCTTACATTGACAAATGCGGCAAATTTTCCACGAAGTACACATGAGGGGTCCGATATCTCACCCAACTATGTTTTGAGAACAGAATGAAAGAGAATAGTATTCGCAACAGCAACAACAAAAAATTTCTGAGGTTCGTTAAAGCTAGTCAATGCTCTGCTCTTTGATGAAAGAGTCCTAACAAAGCTTGGATGAATGGACGAAATGTACGAATGTTTTTGTTTTTTCACTCACCTGCGTCGTTCGGGCATCACTACTGAAGTTATATGAAACGTGTTTTGCATGTCGAGTACAACTCACCTTCAGTTGGTGCTTGAGAGGAGGTGACATCCCGAGGCCCATCATCCTGAGCCACAGCTTTCGCATCCTCCACAAGAATGCAGCTCGGACTGTCCATCCCTGGCCTCATTGAATTGACGGCTGTGAACAAGGAACGGACCTTTCAGTACAAAATACTTTTATCGCGTCAAGAAAAGATGCAGTTTTTACAGATCCACAACTTTTACGACAAAGGAAAAACTTCTAGGGAATGTAGACACATCGAAAGTGATGATTTTTTACCCAAGAATATGTTGTTACAATTTTCATATTTCTTTACGTGGAACTCCCCAATATAATTTAATTGTCAAGGTGTGAACACCTTACATTCATGTTCTGGAAGTTAATCATTCTGAGATATCTGTATATTGAAAGTATATCATTTGTATACAATTCAGAAGAAGTCAATTGTTAAAAGAATTATGTATCAACGGTATTTTGACGTTTGAACGTTTCTCTTTAAAGCCAAAATATGATGAGAATAAAATGTTTAATGCTAAACGAGAACGCTAAGGTTTATTATCACCAGGTTCTTAAATAATAGTCTAAAACTACAAATATTGGAAATATTACAAGACAAGATGAAATAATTTTACAAATCTAACTAGTATATGGGAAGAAAGTTGTTTGGTCTACAATGGAAGACGAGGAGAGGGGCCAGTAAACTTTCACCGTAAAGAAAAAAATTTCTGAATCGAATAATAATCTTAGAACGAATTCGGGAAGAAAATATTGAATTTTGTTCGAACACTGTCATAAATTTCTCAACATTCTGCATTTAAGGTAATAAATATTTATTCTCAAAAAATTATCTAAAATGTACACAACAAAAAGCTATATTATATTTATTTATTGTCAAATAACAGTGAAAAACTACGTGACGTATGAGGAGCAGTATATGCATTCAATCAATCCCTTATTGTGCAACTTCTATGTTTTTTGTGGCGTTTCCCCGTTTACACAAGCCCATTTACAACCTCTTCGCAACGTCTCAAATTCCAGAACAATCATACATAGGTTGATATTTGACTAAATTGAATTCCAGCAGTTATATTGTAAAGTGAGTAATGAGAACTTTTACAAGGTAGTGCCTCACATGGACTTCCTAGAATGGATTCCTAGAATACAAATTAAAGGTATATTGTAAGAACAATTGTCATTTTCAATAGAGTGACAATTGTTTTATACAACTTCAGTTCACGAGAATATTATATATATATATATATATATATATATATATATATATATATATATATATAACGTAATTTATTGCCAGAAACAGTAAAGACTATGACGTATACGGGCAGAAAATACATTTTCTGGAAAATCCTTATCCATTCACTTTTACGATACGTAGGAATTATAAATAAAGATAATAACAAATATTAAATATTATCAAAAGTTTTAGAATTATACATTTTCATACAATGCCTTCACGGAAACGTTGCAAGCCAAAATAAAAGCATAACGGAACACCACAGGTTTGTGACATTCCTTACAACTGATATCAAAAAATGTAAATACACGGAAGAATAAAACGGCTAATTAAAACATAATTTAAATCCCTCCCCACCCTGGCAAGACCATAATATTACCATAAACACTGATCTAGCAAATACCCCTTACCTTTCCTCTGAATTTAATACAAATGTCCTAAATGTAATAGAAGTGCTTCAAAAGTATGACACATTTTATCAAGTTTACACAGACGGATCCAAACGAGAAGGAAAAGCGGGCTGTGGAGTAATTCTAACAAATGACAATAAAGTTAATCCATATCGCCTCCCGGACTACTTTTCCATTTTCACATGTGAAGCATGGGCAATGCTTAACGCCACTAAAATCAGTGTCAAATCTGCAAACAACATGCCTATTGTCATCTTTTACGATTCAATGTTAACCGTTAAAGCCACTGAAAACCGATATACCAACAATACAATAATCCAAAATATCCAAAAACGTATATTTACCCCAACACAAAAGGAATCAAAGTAGAACTAGTTGGATTCGTTCCCATAAGAAAATTATTGGAAATGAGATGGCAGACAAAGCTGCAAAAAATGCAACATCATTACCAAATGCTGAATCGCAAATTCAGGGCACCCCAAAAGACATAAAATACCTTTTCAAGGACTCTTGTTTAAAGTATTGGAATTCACAATGGAAGGTGCAATCATCAAAATACACCAAGTAAGAAACTCTATTCTGGAACCAGGTCTACCGAAATCAAACTTCAAAAGAGGTCGTCATTACAAAATTACGGGTCGGTCACTTTAACCTGAATTACTGTCATCTGTCCAAAAAATACAATCTTGAACCCTGTCCTACATGTGGCGGTACCGTATCTACTCCTCATATTATCCTCGAATGCCAAGGACTGGATAGTGTTAGGAAATCATTGAAAATAGAAGATAGCTTATACACACTGTTCAAATCAGAATAAGGTTACAAAAAATTGTGAAATTACTAGAAATAAGCAAATTGATTAATGTAATATAATAACGATAAAAATTTTATGATACAATGATGTAATGCATATGACGTAATGATACAATAGTTCGTAACGTTAATATTGGTAATAATGTACTGATGTAAACGTAATAGGGTCGCTGATGACCTGAGATGTTACAAAGCGACCGTAAATAAATAAAGTAAAATAAAAATATTATTTCACTTCACGTACACTCTTGTTAGTACAACCACTTCTCAAAATTGTTGATAATTCATATTATTCTATGTAATAAAAACTGTATCAGTTATTACTTCTCAGAGAGTTATTATTGACATACTGTGTTCCTTTGAATTCCACTTCCATACAGTGACAGCTGGTATTTGCGTAGAATTTCCAGTTGTGCATAGTCATGAAAGAGGAATGTAAACATTAGCCGATATTGATTACAAGGCAACTTTCAATACAATCTGATGATTCTCTTTACAACGGAGAAAATGCGTTTACTCCCATGGCCAACGTATATAGTTTTACGGATCATTTCAGCAAAAAAATAAGAAATAATTTTAGACGGTTATATCATGTTGCTCACACTTACATTGTATTGCTCAAATTGAAGTTGTGCTCATTCCCTACAAACCCACAAACAATTGGAAAGGAAATAGAATTATTATTATTATTATTATTATTATTATTATTATTATTATTATTATTATTATTATTATTTTACTTTTCATTTCTTCTCCGAAGAATCGCAAACATCGTGAATGCGAGATGTGTAGGAAGATTTATTCAAATCGTGATTTCTGTTCTTTGTAGATTGTTCACAACTAAGATTAAGGAGCCACTGAAACCCATGCCATTTAAATTAGTGACAGTCACGTAAGGGTTAGTCTACGTAATTCACAACGTGAGGATTGCAGACAGCTACCCGATGTTTTTACCATGTTACTAGTCAATAGTAATATCAGTATTTCATTAAATATATCGAGACAGACGCCGATCTAGGTTGCACAGTTATGAAGTCTTTGGATCGAATCTGTGCAAATTTTAGTGTTAAATTACATATGTAGTATTCTATTTAAGCTGTAAAAATGAAGCAATTTAGTTTTGACTTTAATTTTGGAAAGATTTTGTGTGTTCGTTTCGTTCAAATTCGAAGACCTTTGGAGATTGTTTGGGCACGCGTTAATCTTAACAATACAGATCGAAAGGTTTAGCGCACGAATGGTTATGTACATGTATGTATATTCATTATTTCTTGCACGACATATTGACAAGTGGTATTGCCCAACAAAAGGTTGACTGAGCCCGACAAATCGCCAAACAGTTTTGGAGTTAGTTTTGGAGGTAGTAGCGGGTTGCCACGCGCTTTTTCATTCAGTTGTTTCACAATATTGTAAGAGAAAATTATACATTAATAAATAATAATAATAATAATAATAATAATAATAATAATAATAATAATGATAATAATGGCTTCAATTGTAAGGAAAGTTGCAGAAAATTATATAAATTAATATAATTAGGTTCAAAATTATATCTACAATTTGCACATTGAGTAGACAAATCTGTCTAATTTATGAACGTGCAATAAATATACGAGGTGTAAATATTATTATTATTATTATTATTATTATTATTATTATTATTATTATTATTATTATTATTATTTTGTTTCCCGCGAGACAAGCTCTAAACTGCCGACTGCTCTCCCCACATGTGACCGTTGTGTATGTAAAGCGTAGTGTGTGTATGGGGAGAGGAAGAAACAAGCACGAAGAAAGAAAGAAAGAAAGAAAGAAAGAAAGAAAGAAAGAAAGAAAGAAAGAAAGAAAGAAAGAATGCGCGCATTCAGTGGCCCTTTTGTTAAGATACTCCTCCGGCAGTCACCTATTATAGACCGGAGAAATCATGAAAACTACCGATCTGGGCAGGCGGCCGCCGGCTAGAATTTTCCTCCAGACAGAGGCTAAATTTCACACAGCTATCTAACTAGCGTCGAAAATTCGCGACTGTAGGGATTGGAACCATAGGACTTCACGTTGATTGGTAATGGAGACTTCCTTGCTGTTTAGCCTTACCTCCGAAGTAGGCTAGCATGGCGGTGAGCGCCACTGACAGCAGGATCAGCCCGATGCTGAAGCACTTCCACGAGCAGCGGTGCTGGCAGCGCTTGTCAATGTGGAAGCGTGACGGCGAATAGGGCGAGTAAGGTGACGGCGTCGGTCGGATGGGGAACACTGGCATCACCATATTGTTGGCGGGCGCCACCGACAACTGCGGGTTGGTAGCCATCAGGGCGCAGTTGGCGGCCGGGGCGAGACTGCAACAGAAACAGAATCATCGTTCGGGACGTTTGCACGCACTTTTGGTCGAATATGTTTTGCATAGCATTGTTTTCGGAACGAATTTATTTGTTGTAATGTACTATGCGTGTTTTGTTAAACGTTTTGCTCAGTGGTCTTTATTCTGTGCGTTCTACTCAGCAAATTTTTAGTCGCTACTGTTTCACTCGCAACATTTTGCACTGTGGGCGTTGCTCAGCAGTTTTTATAGAGTGGATCTTTTATTCCGTCGCCCGTTCTAAATATTTTACCTACGCCTTTTCCTCTATGCCTTGTTTTTACGGGCGTTTTATTCGTGGTCAGTAATTGTACTCCGCATTATAGTGCACTAGTGTTTTCTCAGCAGGGACTTGGAAAGCTCACTCTGTAAATTAAATATGCCCGAAAAAATATTCTATGTTGAGAAGCTTTATTTTCAAATGAATTATATGATAGAAAAGTGCTTTTATATCATGAAAAAATCTGAGGGATCTTGTAAACAATTTGAACTTCTAAAATGTAAAACATTGATTTAATAACGAAATTGATGTAGTGTCATCATTTTCAAACATATTAATCACTTAGAAGTAAACATTGTGCCAACTTACGAATAAATCTTATCATCGTGCATCGGTTCAGCGAAGTCTTTCGAATAGCTGTAAAATATTTAGAATCCAAAATGCACTGCTCGGAATTTCGAACTTGGAGATGACATCTATTATTGTCTCATTGTGGTAATGATATGTGCGACAACTTAATTCAAATAACATTAATATTTGGCATTAAAAAAAGTGATATGGTCGTAACATTACATTACATTGCATTGCATTGCAACATTACATTGCCCTTGCAGCTCACAGAACCGAATTTTATCCCGTCTAGGCTTCGATAATGCACAACAAGCAATCGCATGTGATGCCTCGGATATAGTAGCATGCACAACTAGAATTCAGTCTCATACGTAAATAATAATAAATTATATTTGAAAGTAAATTATTTTATTTTCCTTTTAATTTGACTTCTTTATATTATTATAATATTGTTCATTTCTATATTTGCATGTTTGAACTTAGATCTAATTCATATCATGAGTGCAGAACAGCATACCTTTGGTACAAATATCGCTCTTTTATAACGAACGAGTTTTATTTAGCAGTACTTCCAATGTAAACTTAGTACTCTATACAAATATTCAAGTAATACGTCTCATATGAAATTTATCACAAACCATTAATACGCGCACCAGCCTCGTATCAATGCGCTTGTAATACTTCCTAAACAATTGCCTGTAATGGTCCCAGGCCGTAGACAGGTTAGGCCAGTGGCGCCATTTGCTCGTGCGTCCTCCTTGAGAACGATCGAAAGCGCCCGTTTGGTTGCCCGTGATTTCCAGGGCGTCGACGTAGTTTCATTGGCTTATTCGTGACGCGCATGTAGGGAGAGAAGCATGAGAGAGAGAGAGAGAGGGGGGGGAGGGGCGGAGAGCAACAGTGCACAGCTCTCGGTGCGTGGGGCGCCATGCATATTTGAAAGGTGCTCATCTATCTAACGTCGGGGAAAACACTCCCCCGACACGGTACGCCAGCCGCAACGGCGAGAGTGTGCGCGCCCGGGCTGTCATTACTCGGAATAGACACGAATTTAAGAGCGCTCGTAAAAAGTGATGTAACTGACTTTTTTTTGGTTGGATGGAAGAATAAAAAGACCTTTCTTTGTGCTGTTGTTCTTTATTTAAGGGGAGGGGGGCTGCCACATCGGTACATTAACTTACTTTAACGATCGTTTTTTTCGAACTCTCTTCAACTCAAGGGAGGAGCGTTACACGTACTTGCTCCGTATATCTTTTCTTTTATAAGAGTCCGACAGCGAACATATCAAGAAATAATTGATTTTGAGAGAGAACTGTAGTGTACTTTTTTAATGAATTCGACGGAGAAATCTGTACTTAAAGATGTTATACAGTACGCATGAAGTACTGTTCTCATATCATCGAGGGTTTCCTGTGACACTTCGCTGTCGTCTCGTTGCTGTTTGTATCTATCGGCTTAAAAACCGTTCGTTATGTTGGCAACAGCTCCATAACAAAATGAGGCTATACTAGTTTCGCGTGTGCTTGAGTTTCACGGTCCACTACGTCTTCCTTCACGGTTCGTAAGTTTTATCGACAATATTGCTCTTTCGAGTTCTGATTTATGACTAATACTAGTACACCAAGAACAGCAACTACACGCTAAATGGGTTGCTGCTGACAAGTAATCGAAGTGTTCGGGAATTACATCAAAATACCTCACACTTTAGTTGCAGGTTGGGTTTTCGATAAAAAATATATTGAGGTTGAAAACGTTTGTTGAAGACAGAACTTTTCAATATCTGTGTCATTATTTCCTCGTGCAAGCAATAGATTATTGAAAATTACATTAAAAAATGACATTAAAACTTAATTTGGTATTTACTTCCAGCTTTTCCAATGCCAATCGTTTCATAGACTCAATTCAATATTGCCCTTTTGGTTATGTATTTGCCTTCAATTGCCAGTTTTACATTTTCATTCGTCATGCATTTACATTGAAACAGTCGGTACTAATAAATTATGTTGTTAACAGATTTGCGATTTTCCTTGCAGCATAATTTTTTGTTATTATTTTAATTATTCAGTTACCAGAAATGCTGATAAACGATTCCTTTTAAGTTTGTGAGGTACCATGACATTCATTACGTCTTGGAGATAGAACAAGGAGGAATTAGAACACACAAAAAGCATTTCAGATAAAAATGGCAGGAAGTTAATTTGATTTAGAAATTTAATTGACTCTGTACATCCAATTTCATTCACTCCCAATTAGAACCTAACAATTCTTGGTACGACATCACTGGCACATTAATGCCACAACAGATTGCTCTACATGTCTCAACACTGAAAGCAAGTAAGCTAGTAAATTCGAAAACAGAACTTAAATAGCACAAAAACATTAGACTTCAAAAAAATAGGTGCACACACGACTGTTCACAGAGAATAGAATGCTAATACGAATTCCAAAATTTAGAACGGAAAAATATTTTTTTTATATTCTCAGTCAATTACAGGGAGTTGAAATCCCTATGTTGCGTTTCGAACTACGACTTATACTCCGAAACCTTTGTTTCAGAATACGGAACATCAACCAAGTATCCTTACCTGCTTGAGTTTTGTAAATGAGTTAAAGTTACAACAGTGCTAGTTTGGCAATCACAAGTTTTTCAATTCATCAATAATTTTAGATTCATCTTTCAGCAGTTTTAAGATGATATTTTATTATGAATAAAAAGAAAGCTTACCAATATCATGCAGTGGTCTGCTAAAGACAATTACACATGTGCCTCATGCTGGACTCAAAGCAACGTCCCCTGAAATTCAATCAGTTCCATTCTCACAAGACCGAATGGCTTCTGAGTCCCAGATAACAGACAAGCTGGAAATTACTCCACAATAGATCAACCGCTTCGAAATACAAGTATGATGCGGATTCCCACTGTTGAGTACTATATGTTACGAATAGAGGTATTTGGTTAATTACCAGGTTAGTCAGTTAATGTTCACATTATCTGAAATGGGTGGATAAAGTCCGAAGTAAGTACAGCTTCGAAGCACATTTCAGCCTTGAATCAGATGAAGTTGATATTAATTAACACGAGATGGCTAGGCTAGGTGAAGTAACTTAGAAAGTCAAGAAATAGCAGATATGTAATAAACAGGGCTCAGACTGATGGGTAGTTTCGAAAGGCAGGAGAAAATATATAGCTTCGAATTCTATTGTATCATAATTTTCGTAAGTCGTAAATTTCTGTTTACATGACACTCTCTAGCATAACCTATTCGCTTCGCATTTTGGAGAAGGTGAGGGATCTCGACCATCGTGATTGAGTATAAAACCACCTTGAAACCGTGCAACGCAAAATTTTCAACGCATTTTTATTCCAAGATACTTCTAGCAAATACAAACAATCACTCACATTTGTACAATTACCTTACTTTCGCCAACGTCCTGTGGCTAATACCAACATTAACCATATCAGGTCCAAAATGATCCGTTCCTTCTCATTTCTATTGCTTTATTCAAACCCTATGACTAATATGTGATTCAACCAGGCATTCCCAACATTAGACATATTTCGATCTTTATCCGTGACATACATACAAAAGTGTAGCTTCATTAATTAATTTAATGTTGACGGTGATTTTGAACCGACAATGTGATACACCACAGAGCTGCATTAAGAATGATTTTATTATGAATTGACATTTTTATATAGTCCTAATGAAGATGTATTAGCCACTAAAAAATCGGTAAAAACAAACAATTTAAAAACATTGCAAGTCACCTACTGTCAAGACATCCTAATTCACAATTAAAACGAAGCCGAGAAACAGTATTTTATATGACATTATTTCATGGGAAAGATCGTCAACAGGGATCGAAAATGGATAAGGATAAACGTGAGTATGTGAGTTCGATTCGAGGACGGATATTACAATCTAAGCAACCGCAAAAGCATATAAAAGATGAGACGCGGCCGAAAAAGAGTGACGAATAAGCAAACACTACACAAACGTGGCAAGCCAGGTAACAAGTTACATAATAAAAACCATGATTCTACATTTTTGAAACTGAGAACTTAAGGTGATGACGATGATTCTAACGTTTAAATATTCTTGTTGGGAAAAGTATTATAAGAGGAAAATATATAAAAGAGATAAAAAAGAAATTTATCAGAGAAAAAAGTAATATAGCAGGAGAATATTCTTATAAATACAAAAAAACTTTTTTCATGCTTGTGACCCAAGAATGCTTGATTACAATATTGTAATTAAGCACATATTTTTAATTCAATAACGTTAATCAATACTTTTTAATTAATTACATTGTCAGACAAAGGTATAGGATGGAACGTTAAAAAGAAAGAAGACGAGGTGAAAGAAAAAATAAAAACAGAAATATTCGTCACACTATTGATTTGGAAGT